CTAGAATCGAGCGCAAAATTCCCGGAATGTGACGAAAAATTCCCGGAATCGAGCGAAAATTCTTGGAATCGAGGGGTCCTGATGACGTCACTTCCAGAAATCGTAGAGCTCACGACGGTAACTTAGCACGGACACCCACCTTCGAAGGCTCTGGAGTGTCGGTATTATGTCGGTGCAGGAATCTATATCCAGAACTCTCCAGCTTATACTACTTATTTAGACTTTTCAGTCAAACCATTTTTTTACGTTATCGTGATTTGCTTATACGCTAAGTATTAAATGGAACATTTGTCTGATGTTGTTATCGTCGATCGTAGTATAGGCCTGTTGGGGACCCGCTACGTTAAATAATGGGAACGCATCGACTACGGCACATCTTGGGTGATGTGGAAGCCCGTAGATTATCGTTGTTGATGCCTTCATTATAATAAAGTAATAAATAAAATAAAAATAAAAATTTATATTTAGTTTGATTTTTTTTACCTTCAGCGTGCAGCCCGTACAACGTTTGAGGAGGTTGGAGCGCTCACGCCAGTCAAATCAGTGTTAAATTTTAGTAATCGTTTTTGTAAATTTAATGTATTATGTAATATTGGTCAGATAATATTCTTGTAAATTCATCGCTCTGAATTTTTCTATGGGAATTTTTCTATCTGAATTTTTTCACTGCAATCAATTAATTCATAAAACTTTGTAAAAACGATAAAAAATCGGCTTTCGATGCCGTTCCCCGCAGTCAACAGCCACTGGCAATGGACCCGCAGGAAATCGAAGCCAACGAATTCCGAAACGTCAAAGTACCTTCCTTCTGGAAACACAAACCAAAACTCTGGTTCGTTCAACTAGAAAGCCAGTTCACCCTGTATCGCGTCCGATCAGACGAGGTAAAGTACAGCACTGTTGTTTCTCATCTGGGCGACGAAATAATGTCTGTCATAGAAGACATATTAGAGTCTCCATCAGATCAAGACAAATATCAGCACCTCAAAAAGGTCCTCATACAGAGGTTCACAGAATCGCAGGAAGTGCAGCTACGCAAACTATTCAGCGGACTCGAATTAGGTGACAGGCGTCCCACAAGCCTACTCAGGGAAATGAGATCCCTCGGAGGAAAAGGACTACCAGACCGAGTTCTGCAAACACTGTAGCTTCAACGACTTCCAGACAACGTTCAGAAACTCCTCGCAGTAGTTGAAGACGTTGAACTGAATAAACTGGCTGAAGTAGCCAACAAGGCGATGGAACGCGCCAACACTCCCTTCGTGACAGTAGTCGATGACAACAAGGATCCAGCACCAAGCTACGTTGCAGATTTGTCCAAGAGGATTGATGACCTAACACTACTGGTTACCAAGTTAGCAGATCAATCTGGCAACAGGCCAAACTCAGGAAATTCCACACCATCGGAGGTTGACAAGTTGTCTGAAATAAAGGACGTAATAGAAGCCTTCACCAAGAGACAGCGAACAAACCAAAGTACCAATCCACATAACAAGCAACGCTCAAGGTCTCGTTCTAGGGACAACACAGAGGGGTTATGTTATTATCACAGAAAATTCGGACGTAATGCAAGAAATTGCACAAGTCTGTGCTCCTGGACAAAACCTTCACAGGACCAGGGAAACTAACTGCGTCGTCATACGCAGAGGCAGTGCATGACGACGACAGGCAGACGCACCGCCTCACCGTGACAGATAAAGCGACAGGATTGCGATTCCTCATAGATTCAGGGGCTGATGTTTCAGTTCTTCCACGACATCTGGCAGGGAGAACATCCGTCAAGCCGACCAAAACACAGTTGTACGCTGCTAACAGTTCCCCAATCGCAACTCATGGCACCAGAACTCTTAGCCTAAATCTAGGACTTCGCAGAAAGCTCAGCTGGGTATTCATAATCGCCAACGTGACAAAGCCAATCCTCGGCGCAGATTTCATTCACCATTACGGTCTACTAATAGATCTAAAAGGTAAGCGCGTTACGGACGCGGAAAATAAAATGTCTGTTCCAGGTACAATTTCAGCATCCGCCGACTTAACGGTGAGAACTATAGCCAGCCACATCCCATTCAACGACCTACTACGTGAGTTCAAGGCAGTCACGCGCCCGGTGCAGTTCACTGGGGATACCAAACACGGGGTTCAACACCACATTGACACGAAAGGACCACCGGTCACTGAACGAGCCCGCCGTTTAACTGGCGAGAAAGTAAAGGCTGCAAAAGCGGACTTCGAATTCATGCTCAAACAGGGCATATGCCGACCATCCAAGAGTCCATGGGCGAGCCCTTTCCACCTGGCTCGTAAGAAGTCAGGAGAATGGAGGTCTTGCGGAGATTACCGACGGCTGAATGCAGTCACACTACCGGATAAGTACCCGATTTCTCACCTTCACGATTTCTCGCACAGACTTCGTGGTTGCAGGATATTCACCACATTGGACCTGACAAGGGCCTACCACCAAATTCCTGTGGTAGAAATCGACCGTCCAAAAACTGCGGTGATCACACCTTTCGGATTGTTCGAATTCAACGTAATGACTTTTGGCCTCTGCAATGCAGCACAGTCATTCCAACGCTTCACGGACGCAGTCTTGAGAGGAATTGATTGCTGTTTCTGTTATGTCGACGATATTATTATCGCATCCAAGGACGAACAAGAGCACAGGCAACATCTCCGTCAAGTTTTCAAGCGATTACAACAGTATGGTCTATCAATCAACATCGCCAAGTGCGTATTCGGTGCAACGTCAGTCCAATACTTGGGTTTTATGGTGGATCAACATGGAACACGTCCATTGGATGAAAGAGTAGCAGCCATCAAACAATACAAAAAACCCACAACCGTTTCCGAACTGAGACGATTCCTTGGTATCGTCAATTTCTCCAGGCGGTTTGTAAGGAACGCAGCTGAAACACAGGCTCCACTAAATGCCTACCTGGTCGGAGCAAAGAAGAAAGATAAACTATCCATCGAGTGGAATCCTACTACGGAACGAGCATTCGAGGAGTGCAAGAATCAGATGGCTCACACTACACTATTGGCTCACCCAACTGAAGATGCCATGCTGGCTCTTCACACCGATGCATCGGATACAGCCATGGGAGCTGTCTTAGAACAACTCGTAGATGACACCTGGGAACCACTTGGATTTTTCTCTAAGAAGCTATCCAACGCATAAAGAAATTACAGTGCATACGATAGAGAACTTCAAGCCATTTATTCTGGACTCAAGTTTTTTCGCTTTCTTGTGGAAGGGCGAAGACTCATCATAAAAACGGATCACAAACCGTTAACGTACGCATTCCGACAAAAATCTGACAAAGCATCACCACGACAGCTAAGACAACTAGATTTCATTGGACAGTTTACTACCAACATCGTTCATGTTGCGGGATCAGACGACATCGTCGCAGACGCATTGTCCCGGGTAAACGAGATAAATCTACCTTTAATAGTATCCACAGATGACATCGCTAACGCACAAGCTGTTGATCCGGAGCTGAAGGAATTACTCAACTCAAGTTCAACATTGCAACTTCGGAGACTACGCGTAGACGACACGGATACTGTAGTTTACTGCGACACATCCACTGAGTATATTTGTCCGTACATCCCTCGTCCATTGAGAAAACAAATATTCGATGGAACACACGGACTGTCGCATCCCAGCGGACGCACTACGAAGAAGATAATTCAGCGCAAATTCGTATGGCCGTCCATGAACAAGGACATCATAGAATGGGCAAGAACTTGCATCGCATGTCAGCGAAGCAAAATATCACGCCACAATCATAACGTTCCTGCACACATTCCAGTTCCTGATAAACGATTCAGTCACATACACATGGACATTGTCGGACCATTACCACCATGCAGAGATTGCAAATACTATCTAACCATAATTGACAGATTCACAAGATGGCCTGAAGCTATTCCGATCAAAGACACATCAACCGACACCATAGTTGATGCACTTTTCACCAACTGGATATCACGTTTTGGTACGCCGACAACCATAACAACTGATCGTAGTTCACAGTTCGAATCTGCATTCTTTGAAGCCATAGTGAAATTCATCGGGGCTGAAAGAACGAGAACGACAGCATACCATCCGGCGTCCAACGGTATGGTGGAACGATGGCATCGGTTACTCAAAACCGCCATCATGTGCCACGAATCCGATTCCTGGGTTGACATACTACCCATGACACTGATAGGACTCCGAACCAGCATAAAGGAGGACATCCAAGTATCAGCGGCAGAACTTGTCTACGGTACTCACCTGCGAATTCCCGGAGAATTCCTCGTCGACTCAGAAACCACGGACAGTCAGCAAATTTACGCACAAAAGCTGCGAAAACACATGCGAGACGTTCGTCCGGTTCCTACAGCGCATCACTGCAAAAGAAAAGCATTCGTGCATAGAACTCTACACAGCTGCAGTCACGTATTTCTAAGAATGGACCACGTGAGAAGACCACTGGAACAACCTTACGAAGGACCATTCGAGGTGGCAGAACGCATATCGGACACGGTCTTCATAATTCTCATAAATGGAGAAAGAGAAACCGTCTCCACCGAAAGACTGAAGCCAGCGTTTTTCGAAACAGACCCAACTACGAGACAAGCAGCGCAGCATCCAGAAGCCGAGGCGAATCAAACAGTACAGCATTCGGAAACAGTACCTCATCCCGTAGCCATTCCAGCGGCTCCGCCAACCCTTACCAGGAGACCGGAAAATCCAAAAACCTACTCCAGGAAGAAGGTCAATTTCGCGGCCTCGCCAAGCCGCTAGGAGGGGGGTGCTGTGGAGATTAACCCAAAAGGATGTAACATTGGAAACTAGCCTTTAGAAACGCGCAGCAACAAGAAATACTAGCGCCACGGCTAGGCGTAGCGTTAGTTACACACACAGTTACACAGGCGTACTCCTAGCTACTTACCTCGCGGCATGGTTTTGTGTTCATCCTCGTGATACTGGAAAATAAAGAAACTACTTGTTAAAACGTTACGTGTGTCATTTCGCTTGCCTTTTGACGTGTACATAAATAAAATATATTGTGGTGAAACTGCTTGTGCCTCCACAGGATTTTCGGGGCGCCATCTACCCGCCGGGATTGTAACTAAAATTTTACTATAGTATATGCTTGACATACCCCCACCACGCCCTCCTTATCTCTATACCTATCTACACTCAACGGTAGTGCCATACACAAGATGGCGACCTTCATTCACAAAATCCTTCAGCCAATCTCCGTCAAATGTGGCTCGTATACCAAAGATAGTTGGAGCTTTGTAGACAGCATAAAGAGTGTGGAAATTCCAGCTAATCACAAACTAGTCTCCTTAGATGTAACTTCACTTTTTACTAATATTCCAATAGAGTTAATGATAAACAGCCTAAAAAAGAGGGAAAACCAAATTAGTTAAGAAACTAGGATTCCCACCAATGAAATCATAAGATATGTGGAATTCATCATGAATAACACTTATTTTAGTTTCAATGGTAAATATTACCAACAAATTTTTGGCTCGCCTATGGGGTCTCCTTTGTCACCAGTATTAGCAAATCTTGTAATGAGTGATCCCCCAAAAAACATTTACGTGTAAAAAACTACGCCAAGTACAGGAGTGCTGTATATTCCTCTAATAAAAAGTATTGATATCAGATTATTGAGGCCAAGTATATGAGTCACTACCCGTTTGCCTATTATATGATCTAGCACTGGCCCATCATTTTAATTGTATTTTCAAAATTTCTTATAACGTTTTCACTACTCTTTTACGTTACTACTGCTTCCCGTAGTTGATTATGATTTAATGGTCATTTAATAATTAATAAAACTTGTAACGACGAATCGCACAAATAAAGGCACCGCAAGGAATAACGAATAGATTATTATATTACTGGGCGCCAGGTGTACCCAGAGATACACCGCTGTCTCCAGAGGATACCACGGTCAGCTCTTGTGCGGTGGGGTCCTGGGTCTGGGAGACAGTTACAAGACCTGAAATTTCCTAATCGCTACCGGAAAACACAAAAGGGGCTTTGAAAAATCAAATAGATCTGAGGTTTCGGTTAAACATCCAGAACCCATAGACGGGTCTGATTTATTGGAAACAAGAAACATAAGACGAAATATAACAAAATAAAAATAAAATATAAAATATAAAATATAAAAATAAGATAATGAAATTTGATAATACTAGAACACAGGAAGGAACAACGGTTCCGCAAACCACACGCGTGAGGGAACGACGGTTCCTCTGTTACGTCCGACGCAACGCAACCCCATTGCCCCCCCCTTCAGCACCCCCTCAGAACCCCACTAGCAACGGTCAAAGACCACGATAGATGTAACCGATCCTCAGCGAACATGCGTTAATTATTGTAAATCGTAGTTACCTATATATATATATTAATTAAGGGATATCATCATATTATATTATACTGTACACGACATCTCATACTTTCACACATTTTCAGAAATCACACCAACATTGTGACATTGCAGGTGGATGAATAGAGAGAGAGAGAGAGAGAGATCACTGCAATCAAAGAATAAGAACGGCACGGGCAGCAATGCTGAATAGGATACTCAGAATTGAGGTGCCTAAAGAGCATTTTCACCATAGTACCGCGAATACCGCGCACAGCAGAACTCCTACCCGTCACCTTCGCACCCACCTCACCACCAAGATAATCCTGACAATGCACTAATCCAACGAAGAATCCGCGATCGAAGGCCTGCAATGAGAGATCGATCGAACGACAGGGTTCAATTGCCCCGATGATGCCGCAATACGTATCCAAATTCCAAGATATTTCCTAACGTTGCATTCAATCCCCTCCAAACTCAAAACCTTCCTTA